GGTGATCCTGCTCTGGCAGGGGGGTTGGACTAGATGATCTTTCGAGGTCCCTTCCAATCCCTAACATTCTATGATTTCTGGGAGCTTTATAAAGCTGCATTTTTCCTCAAGGATTACTCTTCAACAATCTGTCCTTATTTTAAGAGCAACTAGATAGACATTTGCTAATACCAATTAACTTTCTGGCCAGTAGCTGCTTTCTCAGCAGCCTTCTAGTGCATATAGTGACTGTATCTGATGTACTGCTATTATACACTTAATGCCAGTTAAGGGAAGAAGTTACTTTCAAGTTAAAACATCTTATCTCCTATCAGAGATGCTTGATTCAGTATTCAGGCAGAAGTGCCTGCATTATTTATTTACAAATATTACTCAATTTTTGTTACTGATGCTTTGCCTAGTGATGAGAGGTTGTATTTGACTTAAAGAACAAATTTTGTTGGCTCTGGGTTTGTTGCCGCTAGGTACCAACTGAGGATCTGTGCCTAGCAAAAGGTAAACAACTAATAATGTTGTAACGTGCCAGCATTTTTTTTATTTATCTTGAATGTAGAATGTCAAACGCTGCTTTAACAACTGAAGTATTTTACTTATGGGTCGTGTGTCTGTGTTCCCCCTCCCCCAAGTTGTTTCCTAGTGTCCCCTTGGAGTTCTGCAGTTGTTTAAAGTTGGCTCACAAGCGTAAACATAGGGCTAGAGAACTTGTCTGTTACCTTGTTTAGATGAGGGTGCAGTGAAATGCAAATCTGTAGAAAGTACTGTTCAATACTTAGTACCTTTAAATTCTCTTCAACACAGCTGATGAAAATGGCTGAAAATGGAGATGGTGAAAACATGTCCATTTTGGAAAGCAAAATCTGTCAGCAAATTGAGGTAAGTTCAATTTATATTTTGAGATCTGGACTGAGATGTAGTTTTGGAGACGTTTGTTGGTAGGGACTTGGCTAATGGGAAGTTAATTTCATAGGGAGTTAGGCTTGAATCTTTGGCTCTTTAAAAATGTCTGTCCCAGACCTGTCACATCAAAGCGGGGAAGTAATTTCAGAATTTCTAGTTGTTCAGATTAATGAACTTTGGTATGTCTCAATCTACCGCACTAAGTTGTCATCTGAAAATGGAGCTTTTTAAGACTGAACATTCAAAGACAAATTTCCCTCCCTGTCCCCCTCTCCCTTCTTTTTTGCAGTACTATTTTGGCAATCACAATCTACCGAGAGACAAGTTCCTAAAGGAACAGATCAAACTAGATGATGGCTGGGTGCCTTTAGAAGTAATGATCAAATTCAACAGGTAAAACAAAGTACAACTAATCTGGAGGGAAGGGTAACTTTCAGCTACTTTTCTCTATTTGGGGCCAAATGTCCCTGGTCTGTGTGTACAACTCCCATTGCTGTTTTAACACTTGGCTGCAGCTTTGCCTGTATATTTGTAATAACCTGTGTCTGCTTACTCAATAGGTTAAGTCGCCTTTCAAAAGATTTTAGTGTTATTGTAGAAGCACTAAGAAAATCCAAGACTGGTCTAATGGAAATAAATGAAGACAAAACTAAAATCAGAAGATCTCCAAACAAACCTCTTCCTGAATTAAATGACCAGTATAAGGCTGCAATTAAAAACAGATCTGTATATGTTGTAAGTAAACTTCTTCCTTTGCTGCGTGCTGTTCTGCGTGACTTTGAAAACCATCTAAGTAAAGCTTGAATTAACTCATTCTAGAGAGGTTATCATTTCTGACTAAGTAACAGTTTATTGCATATAACTGAAGTTTTGTTGCTATCTTGCAGAAAGGCTTTCCACTAGATGCAACTCTTGATGATATCAAAGAATGGCTTGAGGATAAAGGTCCAGTTGAAAACATTCAAATGAGGAGAACATTGCAGAGAACATTTAAGGTACCTTTTGTGATGAACAGCGAGACCTGAGGCAGGGATGCCCCCTGGGTAACATTCTGTTTAATTATTCTCACACTGAATGTCTCTTACCATTTAACAGGGCTCAATATTTGCAGTTTTTGATAGTGTTGAATCTGCTAAGAAGTTCACAGAGATCCCAAACCAAAAGTACAAAGACACGGAGCTGATAGTACTTTTCAAGTAAGTCCACTTAACTGTTGTATGAACTAATAATGGTCAAGACTGGATTGAGACAAGAACTGGGCTTGACCTGAGAAGTTTCAGTTTCTACACTGTTGTACAGGTCTTGATAGCTGTACCTTTTGGACATGAGCATCTCAACTCCGAAAGATAATCTCAACTGTTTCTTGGCTACTGCTGTCTTATCAAGTAATTATAATGGAATACTTTAAGTGGTGTTAACTTAGCTTATATTCTGTTGAAGGGAGGAGTATTGTACAAAGAAGAACGAAGAAAGGAGACAAAATAAAGTAGAAGCTAAAGCAAGAGCTAAACAGTAAGTCACTATCCATTGAAGTGCCTGGTTTTGCTCACCTGACCACATTTGAACCAACTCTTAACTAATTTAACTTTTTTACAGGGAAAAAGAAGAAAAACAGAAACAAGCAGCAGATGCTGAAATGGTATGGGTTTCTTAAATCTCTGTACCTGAAAACTATACAATGCTTGCTTTTGTATGGTTTTTAAATCCACGCAACAAACATGCTCCTGCAGCTACATTTTGTAAAGCTAAAGTGAGATATTCAGAGTTTGAAATTCTGTAACATAGAGCACTTCATAGAAAGTCACTTTAGCTTTTCCAACTAACCTACAGTAGGACTTTGTTTTGTCATGGTATTTAATACTTCAAGAGACTAATTTTGCTTAAAAGATCATATCCTGAATTTAAATTACTAGGCATGTTTACCTGTTTAGAAGTGATCCCAAGTGCACCATTGAGATGATAATTCTTCTGTGGTGTTTAAAGGATCCAGTAAGGATTTCATCAGTATTATATAGATTTTCAACCTCAGATGTCAGCCTTCAGAAAATGTTTCTAGAATTTAGAGTGTAATTCTCACAGGAAAGGAGGCCTAAGTTCCACATAAATGCATCATAGTAAGCAAAGAAAATTTTAAAAAGGAAAATATAAAAAAAAAAGGGGGGAGGGGGGACGCTATGCAGATTTTGGACATCAGCATAAATAAGCTATGTGGCAAGAATGCTTGAGTTACTGATGGTGCTAAGGGGGATGACTTCAATTGCTTATTTAACAGTAACATGTTTTAATAGTCTTGGGATTGAGGGGAAAAATTAATATCCAAGATTGACTTTTCAACCAAAATGTGGGGTTTTCTTTATTTTGTTTCTTCTAGAAGTCTCTGGAAGAAAAGACAGGATGTCTGTTGAAGTTTTCTGGTGATCTAGATGATCAAACATGCAGAGAAGATCTCCATGATGTATTTTCTGATTACGGAGAAATCAAATGGATACACTTTGTCAGAGGTGCGAAGGAGGTCAGTAGAATCTCAGACAAGGAGTTAAGATCTCTGTATTGAAGTTTGAAACAGAATTATTAAATGCTTGTTCCCTTACAGAATCAAATACAAATTTATTTAATTGACTTGTGGAATTGCAGAATGTTTAGAGAATTAAATTATTCCCTTAAATTCTTTCAAAAGAACAGATAAAGGTTCCACCCTTCTCAGTGGTAAATTCAAAACAGGCCGAAATGTTTGGTAGGATCGTCTCAGGGTTTTGCTTCAGTCTAGGTGCACTTTACATCATGCAAGTGTAATGAATTTGCTAAAGTACCTAACAGGATATGTTGTTCATCATTCTACCTGAATGTTTTTGCAGCAAGATTAAAATGCTGCCCTTCTTTTTAAGGGAATTATCCTATTTAAGGATATTGCAAAAGAAGCTCTGGAAAAAGCCAAAGCAGCACATGATGGAAACTTACAGCTTCGGAACAAGGATGTTACATGGGAAGTGCTAGAAGGAGATGCAGAGAAAGAAGCTCTGAAAAAAATACTGGAAGATCAGCAAGAATTGCTGAAACAGAAAACAAAAGGTCCTCCTTTTATTGGTTTAAGTATTTATAATGTCCTAGAAGTGGCATTGTGTAAAAGTAACTAAATAGTGAATACATACTAAACACTAACTGTAAAGCATTCTTTTGAGCTTGCAAGTTAAAAGACGATACAAAGTTCCTGACATCTTATATCCCCACAGGACGCAAAATTAAAGGAAAAGGAAGAGGGGGAAAGATACCTCAAAGTGCACACAAAGGGAAAGTACAGTTTCAGGGCAAGAAAATAAAGTTTGACGAAGAAGGTGGCGAAGATGATACTAAAACAGGTATGTCATTCTGTGCACTGGATGCAGCTTCTTTAGTAGAAGTACTCATGTTTCTTAACACGTGTTTCAGATTTGGCCCTACATTATTGTATTTCTGTCCTCTGACAGTATCAGTAAAGTAACTTTAAGGGTCTTCTGCTTGATTCCTTACAGAACTATCCAAAAAGCACATTAAAATAATAGCTGGGGCTGTACTGCAGGGCTGCTCAAAGCATTCTACATTGAAAGATGGTGGTTGCCAGCAACATTACACAACTGTACAGGCCCAGTCTCTTGAGTGGTGATTTTTTTTTTTTCCTTGAGAATATGAGAACACTAATAGTTCTACGTGTGGGTAGTTAGCTTGGAGAAGCTGAAGAGCTAAGCTTCTGTTCATTACATATGGCACCTGCTTAAATAAAACCCAGTGAAACATGGGTTTTATTTAATAAATAAATCTAACTCCTGTTAGATTGTATTCCTTCATCTTCTTACCTGCCCACAGTAATAAGTAAACCCTCTGTCATAGCAGTGGCTGTGGAATAAACTAGGACTCATCCTTGAACTTACATGGTAGGAAGGGTTTGGGTTTTTTCAGAAGATTCCAGGCATTACTGAAATGCTTTTCTTTACCATAAATGACTACATATTCAATCTTGCAGAACCAGCAAGTCCCAAGAAGAGACCACTAGAGGAAACAGAAAAAGAAGAACCTGCACCAAAACAACTGAAAACAGAAAATGGAGATCAGTAATACTAAAATAATAAAAAGAAATCATTGTTTTTATTGTTCCATTTTCATTAGGTTTTAAAGACATGTCTCAGTTCAGGAGTTTCTTGGCAGAAAATCTAATGAAATCCACTTCAATGTCAACCTACAATGAGAGGAAAAATTCATTTTGTTGGGTTACAGCTTTTTGTTTGTTTCTTTAAGAAGCACGTTTGCTCTTAATGTACAAGCTTGAAAAACCTCTTTTATATTTATAGTTTTGTTTATACTGTCAAATCCTCTCAGCTTCTCTGGCACTTCATTCATATGTAAATGATTCTGGATTTTGTAATCCTGCAGTTCTGTTAAATAGCAGCTGCCAATAAATTCAGAACTTAAAACTGCTTACTAGTGAAGCCTGGATGTCAATGTAGTATAAAGCTGTAACTGTGAATTAGCAAAGCTGAAGGACAGAATTCCATCATTTAAGTTCAAGTCACCAAGAGGATAGGTACAGCTGAGTAAAACTTCTAGTCTTTGCTGTTCAACATGCCTAACAGTCTTCAAGTCTTGCTTCGTCTACTCCAGGATTCTCTCCACTTCCCTTGTGGTAATGGGATAAATGTCTTCTAGGCCAGCATTCAGCACCCAGGGACTTGCCTGTGGGCTTAAGCTTCCATACTCTAGCATCCTGACTAGATCTTCCATTATGTGAAGTGCACAGCTTTCTCCTGCTCCCTCTTAAGGTGGTTCTATGAGGGATTTCACTGGCTATAGCTATTTGCAGTACAGAGCATAGAACACTGAAATAATGCTACAGCTGTAAAATCCTAGTTACTCTGGCCTTCATTACTTAATTCAGTCTAAGTTCCAGTTGCAGTAAGATCAGGTAAATAATGTAAAAGTTAAGGAGGCTACCCTTAGCTTTTTCACATCTAGTTGCAGTGCTGGCTTTAATCTTTGTGTATAGCTTTGACTTGTGTTACAATGATTCTTCTCTGCGTTCAACTACAAAATGTAGTCACAGCAATGGAACTTGATGCCATCATGGTGAACTTCTCTTAAGTACTGTGAGCATTCCTCATCCACTACATATGATACTAAAGCTTAAATCTTAAGTAGAATTTATTTACCTACCCAGTACAAGACAGCATTTTCTCAGTTACATTAAGTTTCATACTTACTGATTTCTTCTTATGGAACTTGTATGATGCGGGTAGGTCGTATCTCAGTTCTGTGAACAGCAAAAAGAATACTTGCTACACTAGAATTACTATTAGTCAGTTGACTTACACCCTACACCCATTTTCTTCTGTTGCCACCCTCTGTTTCCCCCTGGCTGGATAACTGCTTTGACCTCTGGACTAGATCATGGCTGAACATTTAAGCCAACCACATGAGACAGTGAGTGGATGGCTGAAGTGCAGTTGTGTTTCAAGCACTTGTGCAACTTTTGTGTCTTAAGTTGTATGGCTGTGTGAAGCATCGAGCTGGTGATACTTGAACAGCTGTCAGAAAAACAGATGACTGTAAGTACAGGATGCTTTTTTGTGTGAGAACTGACCTGTACTTTGTTTTTGTTATTCAGCAACGCTCTTTGAAGCAGGAAGGTAGGTGGCTTCTGCTTTGAAGGCAAAATCTAGTCCAGGAAGAAATGCAATTCAATTCTGCACAGAATATGTATTCCTCAGAGCTTTTTTAACTGCCTGTAGTTAAAAAATTCTAGACAGGTAGCAAGGTATTAAAAAAAAAAAGGGGGGGGGGGGGGGGGGGGGGATGAGCTGCTTAAAAAAAGACCTATGTCATTTGCAGTGTTACATCACACTTAAATTTACCTCAGGCTGTTAAGAGTAACTAGTAGTGTTACAGATGTTATCCCCCAACAATTTCTTTTTCTTTTAACAACAAATTAATCTTACCTGCTATGACTTCCATCTTCACTTCCCATTCATCTGCTTTTTTTTGAATGTGCTACAATGTTAAATAGATACAGATAAACTTAAAATCTCTTCTGTACTGTCTTACAAGTATCTACACCCCTGCATTTATTTAAGAAGTGTCCTGTGCTTTTGTTTTTCAAGCTGAAACAGATCACATACCCTGATGTATATGACATCACAGTTATTTGATGTGATCAGTATTTAAATAAAACAAGGTTCATACCCCATAAAGGTGTGAACAAATCAGTGAAGCTACAGACAACATCATTAAATTCCAGTTATTTCATTGCCTGGTTAATGCTCACTCTACTAAAATGAAGGGCTTACCTGCCGTGTTGAAGTTTTGTGAAGGGAATATACAGCTGTTTTTGCCATTTGCAAAGCAGTTTTCAGAAAAATCATATCCATTCCTAAAAGAATGATGAAATTACTAGAATTGTTAAATGCAAACTTAAACTAAGGCATTTACAGATCTGCTTCATGCTTCAGTTTTCCTAGAGTAATAGCTATTTGAGAAACAGCACTAAATAAATTAAGGTACAGAAAGCATTTCTGAAACTTATCCAGTTGCTTTTAGTTAAAAGAGAAAAATGGTAGGGATATGAAATACTTAGGAAACTGATTCGGGATCAACGAAACTCAAGGTAATTACAATAGGTAATGGTAATAAAGAAGGGAGATGTTTCATCAAAAGTGTTTCCCTCGCTATTTAATTCCTAATAATTTATAACTTTCAGAATTACTAACCTTTATTATGCTTGGTACCAAATGGAGGGTTCATAATAACTGTGTCAAAAGTTTCTGACATGCTGTCAGGTAAAGAACAGACATCACACTGAACCATGTTGATGTTTGTGAGCTCAAAGTCTTCAATATTGCTATTAAATATTTCCAGTGCATCTGCATCTATGTCAAACCCCACACACAGTCTAATAAAAACAACAACAAAAAACAACAGTACCACATTAGCCTCCTGCGAACTAAAATGATGTTTAAATTCTACAGTAAAGTTTTGAAAGGGATCTGGGTACACAACTTATTTTATCTAGGAAATGAAACAAGCATACCCTATAAATTCAGTGCTAATAAAAATGTGAGTAAATATGTTGCCCTTCCTCAAATATCCTTTTAAACTTTGTGAAGGAAGTTTCATGTGTTCATTTAGTGCTTCAGGAGAAAGCAAACTTTGACGTTCAAATTCATGGCAGCTGTCCATCTCTTCCATGATTTGAGTGGTTATTGACTGTCTAAACATTAAATATCCTCATTATACTAGATTAGATACCTAAAATTAGTTTAGTTCAGCATTGCTATGTTCTGATCTTATTTTCTACTCTTCTAGGGTAGAAAAAAACACATCCCCAACTTAGTATTAAATACTTACCCTGCTCCTAACATTGCGCTTCCAATGCTGAGCATGCCACAGCCACATCCTAAATCTGCAATTGTTTTGTTTTCAATGTCATCAAAAGTATTGTGAATTGTGTAAAGCATACATGCTGGAGGGGAAAAAAAAACAGAGGTCATTAATATCCAATATGCATCTGATTAATCAAGAAAAGCTACTTCTGCCTTCAGAAAACTCTGAACTAAAGGTTTCTTGTCATGCAAAATCAAGCTGATTGTTCTCACTGCCTGTAATTCTGCTTTTCATTTATATGTGAAAACAAGTTAAAAGCATTTTGATGAGTTCTAGAACTCTGGATCTTTGGTGGAGAGATTACACCTAGAGCTGTGAGTATTGTTTGTGAAAAAGTATGCCTCTAAATTTGTTTGGGGAAAAACAGAAAAATGTAAAATATGGGGAATTAAGATACGGTTGAGTGTCTGTATATACATTTTTACTGTTTTTTTTTTTTTTTTGTAATGAAATAAATGCATTTCAGCTTTCTCATTTACACATTAAGATGTTTGTATCACAACATTATGTTTTAAATCGATTTACTTGATTTTTGGATTGAAGATTAGCGGTGTACTTCTAATGAAAAGAAGTTAACAGATCGTTTAAAAAGTAATTACATTC